CTTTCTGAGTCCATTTTTTTATGTTGTGAACGTAGTGCTCTTTCTTTATTTTGGAAGACGCGTTGGTGCATTTATTATGGTACAATCACTTGAGAGTTGAGAAATTGGAGAGCGAGCAAGCTTTCTCAACTTTGTCTCTTTCTCTCTGGCACAGCACTGTTTCAGTTTCAGTAGGCATATCTACTAGCAGGTACAAACTGCTCTAAAGCAGTGAAAAACGGGAAGCTTAGGACGGTGCGGACTCCGTGTTTCGCGCTTTTCGCAAGGTGACAGGGTAAATGCTTTTGTGAGATATGCGGAATATGCAAGCGATTTTGTTATGCCCGTCGTTTGCGTCTCTCCAGCAAAACAAATAAGATGATCTACTACAAAGGCGCAATCACAAGCCAAGATTTAAGATAGCAGTCGTTTGCTTCGGTGATCCGTGTAGCTGTATTTTACCCTGCTCTCTGTAACACCGTGTCATGACGAAGAGCTGGAATGGTCACGGTTTGTGCTGGCCTCCCGGTTGACAGAAACCCGCGTCGCCCGCATCGGCACCGAGTGCGCTTGGGCTGTTGATGCTCAAGCCTTTCATCCGCAGCTGATCGCCAGCTCATCCTGCTGCTCAACGGTGAGGAAGCGGCGAGAGTAACCTCGGAAGTGAATGTAAATCCTCGTTCATTCAGTTATCCGGTGTCAAAGTGTGGAAGATGTCCAACGTGTACTGAGGGCGGGAACTACGAGCGTTTTGCCTTGCTTTTATAACCGAAACCAGACCAACGAGATAACTGCCTTGCGTACTCTAAAATGACGGGAGCAATAAGTTTCAACAGGTCGAGTACGTCACCGGGGATGTAGGCGAGATGGTGCACACTGTTTAAACGCTTGCAGTATCCACGAGTGGTACCAGGAAAGCGACGTCAACAGAAAAGGAGCTCGCGATTCAGCATAATGCACTGCTACGGGCCCGTGTATCTTCAAAGTTCGGGGTGGTGGCAGTATAAAAAAAAGACGCATCAGCGCCCCACACCAGTGTTCACGAATAACACCGGTCACAAACTCCCAAGCCCCACCGCTCTTCTCGACACCGACACGACATACGACAACAAACTGCATCAAGACGCCCCAAAAGTGAAGGCGTCTGCTCCCGTACTGCAACTGCTGCAACTAGCGGAAGTGAAGTCGTGAAGTGTTGGGCGGATGTCCGGATGTCCTTCACAAAAATATGTAAAAAATGCTTTGCGCAAGGATCATTTTCATTTATTATTGTATACGTAATGACAAAATCCCAATAATTTGTTTTCCTATCTGATTCAAGCTAGTCTGACTGCTCATGACACTGATCAAGCAAAAAAATAACAAAAACTTGAACTTTTTCATGACCGGTTTAAGATTTATTGTTAACATCGTTATTTATTGCAACGGACTAACATTATAGATTTTGCCTCCATACTTTTTAAATGCCAACAGTTCTAACACACGGCTGTCCATTGCGCCGTGTTTTGTGTATTCTTCTATAAATCTGTAATGGTCAGCGACCAAAGAGCTCACCCGCACATGTCAAGCTTATATGCGCCGCGGGGAGAAATAGATATCGAGTAGGAAGTGTCGGGCGTAGTGTCGGTTGTTGTGCTTGTGTACATGTTGGTGCTGTGTAGTTGTGTGCTGTGTTGCCTGCGTTGTATGTAGGGTTGCTGTGTAGTCGTGGTCATTCGCAGTGTTAACAGATTCGTCTTTTTTTTTAAAAACAAGCTGCTAGAAATGTCGATAGGTGGCGCAAGTTACCGCCCGATTCTAAATAGTTTGCTCAAGTTATTTATCCATGTAAGTTCGGCATTCGTTTTTTTTTTTGTTGCTTTTTTTTGTTTAGCGGTTTGTTGAAGCTACCGACGCCGCCGACAACGCACGTACGTACCTTTGCAAGTAGCTACGTCCGCCGCTTGGAGACTTTACTGTGTATAAAAGACATCGAACGAGAACTAACGCGCCCTGTGTGCTTTCAATTCGGCTGAAAGGCTCGCGGCTCGCTGGGCTCGTCTCCCGCCTGTTCTCGGCCGCTGGCCGCCAAGTTTCATAAGGAACACGCTCGAAACGTTTTTGCAGAAGGCAGACACGGTGTAGCGTGTTAAGTTTACACAGCACCTCATGTGTAGACGAAAAACACAGATGGCCTCGTGTAAAACGAACACGTTTCGACGTGTCCGCTATGGGACAACGGTTTACACGTCTGGGCGTGTTATTTTTGCTAACAGTGTAGATGCATTTTCAAATGGGTATTTAGTATCTGGCCTTTAATGTTTTTGTTGAGTATTTTGTACAACGCTTTTCCCTGGAACATGAGTTTCCCATATAGCTTTAGCACATGTATAAAAAATGAATTTCCCGGGCCATTATTATATTATCTGGCGTAGAAACACCCTAAATACCTTTTCAAAAAGAGTTATCCGGCCGCTGTCATTTTGTGACTAGCCAGAAGTTTCTGCCAAGCGCATAGGATGTGGAAACCCAACCAGCGCAACGATCCAATTGCGTAGTATTCGGAGTTCGCCGGCTTTTCTTTAATGTCTTTACTTTACTGGCCTTTTCAAGATATTTCCTCTGTTTGTGTTATCTTCCTCTTTGAGGACCAGGGAATACCAGGGTTCGTCACCTGCTCCGCCTTCCATGGAAATGAAGGAAAAAAAAGCGAACATATAATGGCCCGCGGCGTGGACCGCTCGACGTTCTTTGAGGCTTATCTCCGCTGAGGTAATCTTTGCAAAGCCTTTACCGTCTTCGCGAAAAATAGCTTATTCGGGGCGGCGAAGGGGACAAAACAGACTCGTCCGTTACTTTGATTCAATGCTGCTAAAAAAAAAAAAAAAAACTTTTTTGAAAACGTGTTTAAGGACAAGTCAGGATTTCTTCCGATTGTTGTGAAGTGACTGGACTATACACCGTAGATTAAAATTTGGTGGTTTTACGCGCCAGACCTACGACGGGCATCTGGCACGCCCCAGCGGAGGACTGAGGATTAATTTCGACCAACTGGGGATCTTTTGACGTGCAACCGAAAGCTCGGTTACACGGCGCCTTCTCCGCAATAAGCCTCCGTCAGATTGCGGGCACCTCGGTGGGGATTTGAACCCGCCAGCTGGGGATCCGTAGGCCGGCGCTCTCGCCTCGGAGCCACCGAGGCACACTGTAGATTGAGTATGCTGTGTTATTTGAGATCTTTCTCAAATAAACCCTGTTTGCATAACACGAGAACGCGCGGCACATATACATTATGTTGTTCTATCTCCGAGAGCTGTTCAGTTTAATGCTTTAATCAGTGAGTACCCATGCGTTTCGGGTATTGTGTGGAGTCTTATAAGTTCAACATTAAAGACCTTTGGAAAATTACATGGCTGAGTGAATGATGTCGTCAAAAATCTACATAAAATGAAAGAGACATTGGAGATCCATTTAATTTTTTTCTGTCGCGTAAAAAACTCACCAAAAATAGCTCTCATGTGTCTTTCTGTTCCCAAAAATATTACATTGCCTTCTAAAAGCGTCGGAAAATTATATTCTCCATAAAAAAAACAAAAAAAAACAGCGATTCGGTTATCACCAGCGTCCGGATTTGTGCCTTCGCAGGCTGCCACAGCCCACTGACAAAAAAAAAAAAAAAAAAACGTACAGCGAGGCGTCGTTGCGCAACGTTGACTAACTCTCAGAACCGGGGACGCGCGCTGTAAATCGCTACGCTCGAAACTGCCGCTGGAAAGGTCTATATTCAATTACATCTTACTAAACGCATGTTGTGGCGTATCTATTGCGTAGTATTCTTGCTCCGCACCCATTAAGCTTCCAAAATTGTAGGAGGAGAATGCTGAAGAACGACTCACGAAGCGACAAAAGGTAGCAAGAAAAATCACGCCTCAGGCTTTTCAATTCAGCCGTCAGTCACAATAGCTGAGTGTTACTACGCACAACCTACTCTCAGTCAGTTCGTTTTCTGCCATAGCTCTTTAATTCACGGTGATTGGTCCACCGTGTTCTGTGTCAAAGAGAAGTCGCGCATCTTATAGGTAAAGTGATGATATTTGTTTTGAAGATAACCCAAGGCCTTTTGTTACATTCTTGGTGACAGGAAAATGCCTCCTGACCGCAGCCGTTGGCAGCTTAAAACACCGGGCTTCTATCGTATTATCCTCACGTTTCTTGCGTTGTGATTTGTTTTATTTTGTACTCTTATTTATCAATGATGTAATAAAATTAGATTTGGTGCAATAATAAGATTCTTGCCTTTGCCACCCCCTGCAAATAACCACGGCTCACAAGAACAGAATGGCAAATACAATTTTTGTTTTATATTTGACCTCTATAAGAAACTCACTAACTCGAAACAGGAAGAGAATCAATTGCCGCCCTTAGATTATGCCATTTCTATTTCAGTTTCAGCGCCTTCACGGAAGTTCACTGGAGTAATGATGAAAAAAATGATGATCAAGTTTGTGGCGGAGTAGGCCATATGTGGGTAAAGTGGCGAGCCAGGCTCGTACATCACGTCCGGGTCGCCAATTGGTCAGGGCTGAAATGTCCCAGTGCGGTTAAATGACAGGGGACTGCCTTCAAGGTTTATAAATGATCTTTAATCGCGTGGGCAGCCCCGCATTCGCCGCACCTGCCGTCGCGCGACCCGGTGTGCGATCCTGGCTCGCCGCTGTGCTACATATGGCACATGCCCGCACAAACTTGACCATCATTTTCATTCGAGAAGATGCGAAGCCAGGCCTTAAATACGCCAAACTCTCCCAAGCCTCTTATGAGCGTAATTTCAAAGGTAGGCTGCCTAACTGGCGAGGCCTTTTGAAGAGCCCCAGAGAGAAAATCGTAAAGAAAAATAAAGTTATTGCTTATCCCAGACGCTGAGACTGGGTTGTAGATGCGCATTAGACGCTGAGACTGGGTTGTAGATGCGCAATTGTTTTGTCGTTAGTAGTTTTAAAAAGAAAAAAACGAAAGTAACAAAAGTTTCAAAACTGACTCACCCTCTTTTTTCGTTTTCACCATTGTAGACACAGATTGACTGCATTTGTCAATGCGACAACAGGCAACGCTAACTGTGGCATTCCTTATGGTCTCTGGCAATTCCATAAGGATGTTGTGCAGAGATGACTCCTCACTGCCTCTTTCAACTTTTACAAGGACGTAGTCCATGTGGAGTCTTTTAGACATACGATTTATCTGCAACAAAAATAAGAGTGCACAGAACATGAACTGGTTCACTACATTGTTTTCAAAATAACCCAAATCACATTTTTAAAGTGTTACGTTTTGTCTGAAATCTTTATTTCATACCTTCTCCACAAGCCACCCCAGCTGGCATGGTATAAGAATTTATATTTATAGCTTATACAACGAATATTTTCTAGGCCATTACAGGACCTTCTGCATACACACATTCACACATCTCGTTATACAGGGTGTTTTTATTAAGCATTACAGAGTTGTTTAAAACAATTCTGTGAAAGCTATACTTATGCGGTTTGTTCAGATGAGCTATACGGCGAGAGGGACATAGTATATGGGGATAATCATAACAATCAGTCGGCTAATTAAGTAAAATTTGTTAATTAACTTTTTAATTAATAAAAATACTCTTATGGTTCCAGTCCGAAATCTGCTGAACATCGTCCAAAACCCCTAAATCGGTAATTTTCAGAAATACTTTAAGCGCGTGAGAAGCGCAGCAGTGCGTTAAAATTGCCACTCGTGGAGCAGGTACAAGGCTGGGGCTAGATAAGAGACGGAAAAATAGCGCGCGCGCCTTACCACAACCGCTCGCGTTGTACCTGCTCCACGAGTGGTAACTTTTGTGCACAACCACGCTTTTCCCGCGCTAAAAGTCTTTCTGAAAATGACTGATTTATTGGTTTTCGATAAGGATCAGAAAGTTTCTAATGGGAACCATATGTATATTTTCATTAAAATGTTACTTAACAAACTTTACTTAAGTAGCTAACTGATCACTACGATTAGCCTCCTACTCTATGTCCATTTGGCAGTATATCTCACCTGCACAAATTGCAAAATTATAGCTTTCAAAAACCTTTTTAAAACAAACCTGTAAAGCTAAAATATACACCATGTATATATACATATAAGGAAAAGACTAGTTCGGAAAACTACTAACAGAGTATAAAAAAAATAAACGTACTTGGAAGCTTTTTAGTGTGTTTTATGACATAAACTATAGTGTAGGATGCCGAAGAGTGTAATGTAATAAAGTCGCAGTCGCGTCGTTGTGAGTCGACGCTTCGTCCCGAAACAGGCCTGTCTGGAGCAGAAACATCAACTCACTTAATGTTTTAGAAAACCAACAATGCTTGAAGTTTGACTTCATTACTTATATATATATATATATATATATATATATATATATATATATATATATATATATATATATATATATATAGTGGAACATAATAGAATGTTCAGCAATGTTTCAGTAAGGGACAAATTAAATTAGTATTTCATCGACTATCCACTAATGGTTTAAGCACCAGTGTGCACTGAATAAATATGATTGCTCATGAACATGACATTCAATTAAGTTTGCGTATTTAATGCTAATCAAATGTTTGAGTAGCACACAATATGCAAAACGACAATGCTGGAAACTAGAAGCCATTTGTAATTGTTTAAGAGTTTTGTATTTAAGTATTTATATTAAAATCCTTTAACTATTCGCATCTTCAGCAACTTATAGGGCGCGCCACTTCCGGAGAAACACGGTTGCTCGGATTATGTCATGTCGTGCCGGCATTGTCGACTGAACGGAGGATTTTGTTTAGCAGATGTTCTTGGTTTAGTTCCCGTTTCCTAGATGTACGGACTCCGACGGTTAACAGTGGCCGGTGCACCTGCACTAACGATGACAGTTTTCTTTCTCCGGTGCTTTGCATTAGTTTCATATCAAACATTTTGTGTCTGAGATGTTTTGTCATAACAGAGAATATCGGTCAGCTGTACAAGTGTGCTGCCAGGCGCAAAGATAAGCTAAGTTACCTGAACCTCGTCCGCGCGATCGTGAGCATCCCCAGTTACGAAACTGCTCCTGTCGTTAGTTAAGGCCGCAGAGGCACAACAATTACAAAAATTAAGCAAATGTTTCTGCAATACCGTGCGGATGAGAATCGCCATTTGATCCAGGTTTTAGTAGAATTCGTAGCCATTTTGACGAATACGTTCGTTATGTATGATCATATTATGCCCAAATAAAACAAAATCAGCATGTCTTTTTCGGCTTGAACTCTGAGTTTTATTTTTAAGGAATACTGTTAATTTCAGTCAAGGAATAAAATAGTGTTTTATTCAAACAAGTGTGTATGATGATGGCGAAAAAGCCACTGATGTCTCCTGATTCTGCTGTTTACTTCAGCAGCACAGATTAAAAATAAAAATGTTCGCTGAATAAAATATTGAGCAGATATGACATGCTCTTTTATGAAGAGGATATATTGTTCGAGCCCCACTGGGGCTCATATTTGATATATACCTTAAAGTCTGTAAACGCTACCATCGTGTCGCTCGCTCATGTCGACCGCTCATGAAACTCGTTCATGAGGATTTTCTAGTAATAAAACGACTCCTAAAACATATTATGTGTTGTTTTTTTTACAAATAAAGCACGCGTAGCCAGCGGTCTTGTAACAGCGAAAGGTCGGTACAATGTTTTTTTTTATTTTTTTTTAATTTTTTGTGTATTTTTGGAACGACCAAATAACACGCTCCCTCCCCCTTCCCCTTTCACCACCAGCTCCCGACGCTCCTTCGCCTCCCAAACAATTACAACGTCGCTGCCCTTAGCAATGTAGGCCTAAAATCTTTGCAGGAAAGCCCACTTGCGAAACCACCATTTTGTCGATTCGTGTCTCTTGATATGTGTGTGTGAAAATTTCTACCGAATATACAAGAAAAAAGAGAGAACTCTCACTGTGCCACAATAACCTTATTGTAAATTATGCATAAAGACAATAAGAATAACAAAAAAAAAATTGTGTATATTTTTTTTAGGTAATGTCGTCTGTGGGCCATTACAGGGTGATATACTAGATATAGCATACATGCTAGTTATATCTTTGTTAACATAAATGTAAGCACGTACTGAAGCTAAGTCTGATGTGGCGCAGTTTGAAGATGAAAGAAGCACATACAAAATAATGTAGAAACATTTTTTTTAAACATGTCCTCGTGCGTCCCAATTGAAAACATAAAAACATCAATAGCATAAAAAAAAACATTACAACGAAAGGAATACATCGCTGGACATATGCATGTCTCGTAGAAGAGAACGTGGAAGCTTTTTATGTTTAAATCTGAATAAAGTGTCGAAGCGCATATTCAAGCGTAGACAAGTTAATTAAACTAATAATATGTTCAGGAAGTCTGTTTTAGTCATTTATTGTTTTAACATAAACAAGGGAATCGAGACAAATATTTTTTTTTCAAAATATGATTCTAATAATTTATAATGATTTCAAAGAGCAAACCTAGCTGTTGGGGACAGGTTTAAGGTAAGTATCAGAAGTCCGTTCCTGAGATCATGCTTCACTTCAGAGGCAAGGCTACGGTGAGGTTGGCGTGGTTGCGAGCTTCGCCACTTGGTGAGGTCAACGCGTTTCAACCAGTCCGTCCGACATGCCCGTAACGCGCTGCCAGCAGGAGATGAATAGGCGCCGGAGAGAAGTAAAATTCGGTTCATCAAATTTTGACAGCCTACGCGCACTCGGAACTTATCTCCGTACTTTAGCAGAGCGACACTACTTTTATAGAAAGTTTAACGTTACGATATTTGGGGACATCCACCAAATGTTAGAGTGTAATATATTTTAAAGCGATAGCCTGAAAGAGCTCGAGTCTTAGAAAAGCTGGCGTCTGCGTCGGTGGTGGACAGGAAAATCTTGGTTGGTCGACAGGGTCATAATATCACGGCCACATGTCCTCGCGCGGGACTTTCAACAAATTCACAACGCTCACGTGAAATGCGACGTCAGGCGTGGATTGAAAAAAGATTCAAATATAAAAAGTAACGCGCCTTTACAGGTCGCCGCATGTTTCATGTTCTCACTTTAAACAGTAATTACTTTGCCATAAAGAACAATCCGCAGAAGTTTAGTCGCAGGTGGGATCCGAACCCACGACCCTCGGTTGCGAGCTACGCGTGCCATCCACTAGGGCACTGAGACTCTTTTTTTCTATTTATCACATGGAAATAGGACAGTAGGAACACTCAAGACATACATTCTGACATAGTTATCTCTTATTTACATTCAACTGTCTGCTGATGGTCCCAGGGAAATACGAAGAAAGAGGGTCACATCTCTAAAAGTCAGGAAGACGAACACACTTGTCAAGAAGGGTATACCATTCTGGGCGTTTCTTAAGGCGATCATACACATTACGTGTATGTGACAGAGTTTGTATGAAATTGGACTTTGTAAACCGTGTAGGATGAGCATTTTTTTATCAATAATCCTTGTTTTTCAAAGGTTATGCAGACCCATCAATGTGAACAGTTCATAAGAAAAAGTATCATTCTGGTCTAAAGGCAAAAAACGTATGGCATATACAAAGATATTGAGATCTTTCTCCGATGTCCTTTGTAGGACATCGCATAACAAATAGGCGTCGATGCGAAAAAATAAAGCATTTTTATATTGTTTCAGGTTGATTGCACAGACAGCAGTTAAGTGACCAAGGGAAAAACACGCCTTTTTCACGAAGCCAAGGCTTTACCCGCAACGTTGAAATGTGGAGTTTATAAAAGAATGACTTCGCTGTCGGTGAGACATGTAGCTTACACACACGTTTCAGGACGTCTTGTCCCGGGCCATTACTGGACATACTGTGGTACAGGGGCACAGGAAATAATGCATCGATGAGATTAACATATAAAGCTTTCCGCGACACTTTAAATACGAATTCAAAGAAAAAACGCTCTTCAAGGAACTCTATGGAGCTCACTCCCTCTCCGAGGTATCCCCTGGGACGAGATGTGCCCACAGGCAGTGCTGTCACTACCAATAGGGCAACGTACTTGAAAGCTTTGCCTGCATGTACGTTCGAAGGAAGTCATGAAGCACAGTTCTAAAGAACAGGAAATCTGATATAAGTTGTTTTAAAAAGACGTGTAAAGTCTGAGACCGCTTTGCTTAACGGAACGAAAAATACGATCTCGTCTCATTAGTTTCCAAGTGGAACCCCATACAAAAGTGGCGAACACTTTGTAAACCTTCTGGATGTGGCCTTTAGTATAGCAAATCACCTGAAGTGCGTACCAGAGTTTCGCTGCTAAAAATTATTACAGGCTTGTGCCCGTCCAAAAATAAACCGCTGATGTACTTTCATTATTGCCGCTTGAGTTTTCATCTTTTCCACCCTTTCTGTCCAATAATATCCATTGTTCCTAACACAGTTAAGGGGAGCTCCTAAGTACTGAAGGCTATGTTGCTCCATGAAATGCCAGCGTAATTTGAAGGTGTTGTGGCCCACTGTCCGCACCAGAAGCAAGTACACTTTGCCTTGTTGATGAACGCCCCAGTCGTAGAACAGAACGTTTTGAGCTAAAGCAAACACATTGTCTACGCTTCGTTTGTCTTTACAAAAAAACACAATGTCATCCGCATATGCCAACGCTTTTGCCTCTGTGGAGTAGAAACGGTATCCTTCTGCAGTAGGGCTGTTTAATACGCTTAGACATAGGGGCTCTAAGTGCAGTTCAAACAAAAAGGGCGACAAGGAGCATCCCTGTTCGACAGATGACCCTAGACGAATTGGACCTGCCAGGGATCCATTCACTATAAGCCTAGTGGTACAATAGCGGTAGCATATCTTTATTCCATTAAAAACAATGTTGGTCCTACGTTTCTGTGGCAGAGGATGTCGAGTATAAAAGTGTAAGAGACGCGATCAAAAGCTTTTGCTAAATCCACTTGAACCATAGCCACTTAGTCTGCATGAGCACAACAGCTCTCTGGCTGCATCGACGATTTTGTACTTCGGAGGTTTCCTAATGTTTGTTTTTATTCAATCACGTATAGTCGGGTCGTCAGCCTATTTTTCCATAATGGCCGTCATCTGTACATGGATTTTGTTTATTAAAGTGTTCTTAATATATGTGTAGTGTTTTGGGAACGATGCCACGGTTTCTGCATCGCCTGCGCCTCAAGCGCAGTCGGTCCGAACAGCTCACCTGTGTCGATGCCACACGGCTGCCGATTCGTAATTCTTTCTTACTTAGTCTCTGTAGTCACGATGCGTCCTCTCATTTATACGTTTTATCCTGATGTGCGGGCGACTTGCCCAATGACACGTCTGCAACAGACTCACGATGCCTTTCTTGGTGAAAAAGACATTTTCGTCTGATTGTGTTTTTGTCCCATACTTTTATGCATCTGTGTACATGACAGTGCTCTGCTGCTCAGGCTACTTGGCTGTTTGCAGGCACGCAAATAAACGCCATCTGTCTGCCTGTCTGTCTGTCTATCTATCTGTCTATCTATCTATCTATCTATCTATCTGTCTGTCTATCTGTCTATCTATCTATCTGTCTATATATCTATCTATCTCTCAGTCTATCTATCTGTCTGTCTATCTATCTATCGGTCTATCCATCTGTCTGTCTATCTATCTGTCTGTCTATCTATCTGTCTGTCTATCTATCTGTCTATCTATCTGTCCGTCTGTCTATCTATCTGTCCGTCTGTCTATCTATCCGTCCGTCCGTCCGTCCGTCCGTCCGTCCATCTATCTATCTATCTATCTATCTATCTATCTATCTATCTATCTATCTATCTATCTATCTATCTATCTATCAATCTATCTATCTATCTATCTATCTATCTATCTATCTATCTATCTATCTATCTATCTGTCTATCTATCTATATATCTATCTATCTATCTATCTATCTATCTATCTATCTATATATCTATCTATCGATCTATCTATATATCTATCTATCTATCTACCTATCTACCTATCTATCTATTTATATATCTATTTATCTATCTATCTGTCCGTCCGTCCGTCCGTCCGTCCGTCCGTCTATCTATCTATCTATCTATCTATCTATCTATCTATCTATCCATCCATCTATCTATCTATTCAGGGATGCTGCCGTGTAACTCCGAGCAGCTTCTCGACCACGCCGACCGACTCCACCAACATCGCTTCAGCGCTTTTCGCAGCTCGTGTCCGTACAGGGTTCGTAAGCTGGACTCACGACGAGTTTGTGCCAGATTGTATACTGCCGAAATTGGCCAACGTCGCTCTTGAAGTTGGCGCTTCACAATGGCGGCGGTCAGAATTGTCGCCGGTTGTCTAGCATAGGGTCCAACTTAGAGACCCAGCACGCCACCATTTTCCATATGCAGTTGTTTTCAGGCAAGTCCGCGCGCAATGCATGGTGATTCAACGGCTTCGAAGCGGACGGCGTGAGATGGCCGCGAGCCCATCTCCACGCCAACGATGCCCACGCGCGCCGAATGCCGCCAGTCGCGTCGGCTACGCCAGGACGCCGAACTCCAGAGTAACGGATTTTCGCCAATGTACCTTCGCTGTACCACCCTCGGGGGCGCGCGCGCGTTACGTTGAAGAATACTCGCCCCTTTAGACCTCAAACCTGAGTTCGTGACTATATCCTCCGTTTCGAAATAAAAAAAGAAGTTGGGAGACAAGAAAACTGTTATTTTACTAACTATTTTTGTTATACTAGACATTTTTAACAGGATTAAGTGAATTGCCAAAAGTTATCTCATGAAATATTCGCATCAGGATATCCCTGTAGGCGTACCAACGAATGATCATAAATCAATCTGCATTGATTCATACGCTGTTCAAGTATGTCAAAGTGCGTTAAATATTGTAGTATAATACAAATAAATCTACTCACTTGCTCCTTCATCGGCCCGTGAACGTTTGTCAGAAGGTAGGAGGCGTGCAGTGATGGGAAGAAATCTTGTGAAAGGGGTGGACAAGATCCATTGCAGAGAGCAACCTGTGCAAAACACGAAAGTTAACTCAATGTCTTTGATTATAGGGACAAACCAGGGATCGCACCGGTTTGCACGTATTACATTGTTTCACTGACGTGGCAAAAATATTTACATGTGTATACTTATAAACCCCGAAGAAAAGGAACAAGATAATGACGTCTCCAATTGTGTTCTGTCCTTTTTTTATATTCCTTTGTTACCTTGTCTCGGAGTTTATACATAAAAGTGCGATCGCTTACTCGCTAGCCTTGGCTATGACCCCTATTTCAGATAGACGTATTTCAAGGCTCTAGCGCCAGACTAAACACCCTCAATTTCTTTGGAAGTGCAATGATTTTTTTTACTTAATTTTATTTATATGGAGACATAAATATGTTACGCTATAAATTAACGAAATACCATTTTATTTTAGAGCGCAGCTCTTAGGCGGCCGTTTCCGGCTTGAGCGGCGTCGGCGTCACCGTCTTCGTCGGTGTAACCGCGAGCCCCCCCCCCCCCCCCCCCCCCCCGATAACCTCGGGAGGACCTCTGTTTCTTTCGGGAGGACCTCGGGTTCCTTCGGGAGGACCTCGGGTTTCTTCGGGAGTACCTCGGGAAGACCTCGGGTTCCTTCGGGAGGACCTCAGGAGGACCTCGGGTACCTTCAGTAACCTCGAAGAGGGGGGGTCACGTGACTTCGGGGAGAAGGGGTCAAGTGACCCACCTTTTCCCGAGGTCACGTGACCCCTCCATGGTCACATGACCCCCCCCCTCAGTACCCTTCCCTCCTCCTCCTCAAGAGCTGCGCTCGAATTCGTGGTTATAGAAAGTTGTATACGACTTTCAGTTCTTAGAGCGCAGCTCTTAGGCGCTAGTTTCCGGCTTGAGCGGCGTCGGCGTCGGCGTCGCCGTCGCCGACGCCGACGCCGAGGCGACTCCCGCCCCCGAGGACCTCTAGAGCACCTCGGGTTCCTTCCGGAGGACCTCGGGTACCTCCGGTGCCTCCTCGGGTACCCCCCTCCCCAAGGTCACGTGACCCCCCCCCCCCCCCGTAAGTCAAGTGCCCTCCCCCCCCGAGATCACGTGACCCACCTTCCCGATGTCACGTGACCCACCTTCCCGAGGTCACGTGACCCCCTGTCACGTTCTTGAAGTGACAACGGGGTGAAGAGGAAGAAAAGGAGAAGGGCGAGGTGAAGACAAGTGGAGGGCACGAGGTTTGTGTGTCTCGAGCGGGAAAAGGCGAACGACTCTAGCGGACAACGCTCCCGGCAGCCCAGGCTACGCTCCTGAAAAACCCTGGCCTCGTCCCAGGAAAGGCAACACCGTCGAGCCGGAGCGACATCCGACAGCGCTTCCGCCAGCTCAGGCTACGCTCCTGAGAGATCCTGGCCCCGTCCCAGGGAGGGCAACACCGTCGAACAGGAACGGCATCTCATCTCTGACCACCATACCTTGCCGCACTGCTCAGAAACCCTGGCCTCTCCCCAGGAAAGGCAACACCATCAAGCCTGACGGACGACCGGTTGCCGTTGGCCCATCGCAAGCTTGCCAGGCTCAAGGATTTCACCCTGGAAACCGTGGCTCCGACACAAGCGAAGAAGGGTCGGCTTCGAATCCATCATTCCTCAGGAACTGTGCGTGAACTTCAGGCCCCGATCATACCACCAAGTTGATTGTGCTTCTAGAGACCTCTCTTATTTAATTCCATAATTTTTTTTTTAATTTCCTTCACGCTCATATTTTTTTGGGGTCTGATTTAATTGATTTCTTCCTTCTACTTTCGTGCGTCACTTCAGTCTCCAAAACGCCCTCGACTACTTGGAAGAACGTGACCCCCCCCTCCCCGAGGTCACGTGACCCCCCCCCCCCCCCCGGTGACCCCCCCGTCAGTACCGTTCCCTCCTCCTCCTCAAGAGCTGCGCTCTAATTCGGCGTTACAGGGAGTTGTAAACGGCTTTCACTTTTTTATTGCTCCGTTTAAATGAAGCATTTCGGAAAAGTACCAGGATCTATACATAAAGTTATGTTTCCTAGACGAGCCAATGTCTTTGTTGAATGTTTTTCTAAACATTATTTTTGTCAATAGTTGCATAGCAGAAATATATCAATTTACAAACTTTGATGTTCGTCGTCTATACGGGTCAAACGCTCTTAGAGCGCGTTTGGACTTGCTAAAACACTTAAAACTTACCAGAAAAATATCTGCAGATCCCACGGAACGCCAATTAACGTAAACTTTGTTTCGTCCCATAGACTCTGCGCTCACTTCTATAGGTTCTGAAAAAGAGTAGGCATAGGTAAAATATTTATTTAAAAACTGGACACGACATAGAACACCATAGTGCATTGCTACGCGTCTGTTAACTGCGATGTACGCGTAGTCTCTGCGAATGACGACGCTTAAAATGGGGTAGAACTACAGATAAAGCCATCGGTTTCACTCTAAGCATAACGTAGAAATTTTACACTTCATAATCAATGTTACTTTCTACTCTTTACTTAAACCTTAGCAATTTATTTTCTGCTTTTTTATTTGCCAAAACCTCAGGGCACATGGTACTCTTTGAAAACGTCAGTGCGTTTATTCCTGCAGATCACGGAGACAGGGAATCACGTCTAAAAGTAATTTAGAAAGCTTCCATCGGGCCATAAAACGCATACAACCATTAGACGAAAATGCTCTGTGCTCAAGGACAATGAGCGTGGCGTTTCTCTATCTCCTCTCGGCGCACATCGTTAGTCATTAGTCCCGTCGTAGCGGCAGTCCCAGCCCCACGGACACACCGTTTGGTTGGGGGCAAGTTGGGGCGCTCGGGCGCGAATCATGGTACGCGACATTTTCGCATCGTTGTTCCCCAGCTTAGGGTATGTAAATAGGCGCGTTTTTATCAGTAAGGTTGTTTGAATTGCTGGTTTCCTCATTCGCCGGGAAGAGAGATATCTCTCTCTCGTGTCAGTGTTTCCACATACCGTCTGCGTTCAATTGCCAAGTGTCTACAACGCATTGTGATGAGGTGTGAATATACGGGCATTATGGCTTTAGCATAGAGTAATTTTACATTCCTCTATAGTTTTCGCATATTCCAAGCACGCTTTCGACACTGTCCATCACCGCCCAACATTCCAGTTTGCTTCGTATCGGCGCGATAGGGGCTCCTGGCACCGTTTGCCGAAGGAGACGCAGGAGGCGCAGCGCCCACGCGTTGGGCGAGCAGGGCGGAACGCTGCGCGTTAACCGGCAGCGGAGCTCGCTCGCGCAATTAGAAACCTCTGCATTATGCGCCTAGAAACGTAGGAAGATGAGAAGACGAGAGATAGCTGCCTTTGTCTCCCCTGCACACGCAAAATTCGTTAGGACGCGAGAGTCAAACGCCGGAAGCCGGCGTTCCGTTTTTATGTGTCTTGATAAAAACGTTTCAGTCGACCACCACCACGCCTTTGAATTGTCACGTAAAAATAGGCAAGGTTTCTCCTTCTTCTGCGCGAAGGTATTTGTAGTTACACAACATGCTCCTTGTCTCATCTGTACATCAATTTGCCTAGAAGAAACTAGTTTAATGCAATGGCGTTGAGGAACTCATGTCGAGAAAAGACGGCGTCGGCATCGGCGTCGCTGAAACGAGAAACTCTTGATTGGTCGATTGGGTTATGACGTCACAGACACATGAATCGCGGGGGAATTTCAAATAGCCCACAACGCTCACGTCGAACGTGATGTCACTCGCAGAATGAAGGTGAGGTGATTAAAACATGACATGCAATGCGAATTAAAGGTTGCCGCATCTCTCAAATGATTTCCCTTTATAAATTAATTAATTTGCCTTAAAAAAATATTTGAGCGAATTTAGGTGTAGGCGGGATTCGTCTCCGCCTAACACACGCTACCGACTAGGCCACGTAGACACGCTTGCACGGCTCGGGAATGAGCGGGGTGTATATGTTCAGCTATCACGTTCCACTCACAAAGGCGAAGCCTAAGCGTCTTCCTGTAATTTTTTGCATCCCTTCTTCTTGCCATTATTGCCTGACATATTTTTTCACAAAGAAATTTGACATCGTTACAAGGACGTCATTAGCTTTAAGGGCTGACTTTAAGATAACAGAAAAGTAAACGTGTGAGTCCCTTAAGACATTAAATATAAGCTCTCAAGCGAAGCCAGGCACAATTTGAGAATACGGAACCAAAACTAACGTTAATAATAAAAAAAGCGAATTTAGTGCCTCTGCCGACTGCTTACGTGTCCTTCCACAACCTGGGCCGCTGAAGCCTAAGAGAGTATCCACTCTTTACGTTTACTACCGTACTCTGTGCATGGACTGCATATTTATATTGTTGATTTTTTTAGTGCTGTCGGTCCCTTCATACCGCACATCTACAGACGCTGACAGACGCTTCTTTGATACCGTAGCTCGTGCATGAGGCATCGCTAGAACGCCGCTTTCATAGCCACGTCTTGCGAGTGTTGCCGGACTTTTTAGACGGCAGCGGAATAGCAGACGCCCGAAGGCGAAAACGGACGCCGACGCGAGGCTTTCATGTCCGTACACGGACATTGCAGACGACGATAAACCGTGACGGAAAGCAGACGATGCCGGAGGCTATTTCGCGACTCCTCTTTGCGACTAGTAGGTGGTGTCGGACGGAAAAAAACTGGACGTACCAGAGTCGCAAAAGGAGGCACAAGGCTTCTTATCGTGTTTTGGCGAGCAGCCAAAAACAATTCATTACTAATGAGCTGGGCCACTAATCTGTGGACGGGGCTCAGACTGGGCAGTGACTTTGACCTAAATTACGACTCCTGGCTTAAATATTACGCGATTTCTTTTTATGTGTTAAATAGCAAAAACAAGGTAGGTGTGCCATGTATATCCTTTAAAAAACATATCTTGTGCCTTTTAGTTTCTCTTTAATATTCGCGTGCATTTTAAAACTTATGTTGGGTGAATGCAAAAATGTTCCAAAAGCCGGGTAAATTCATGATTGAAAAGGTTTACTCCGACTTAACAAATTAATAACAAAAGGTACAGACGTTTCGCCACCTATGCAGGTGGCATCTTCAATGTATACTGAAGATGCCACCTGCATAGGTGGCCAAACGTCTGTACCTTTTGTTATTCATTTGTTATGTTAAGTCGGAGTAAACCTTTTCAATTATGTTGGGTGATACATATAGTTCATACTAAAATATTATGCAGTTTCACGAATAATGAGAATAAAATGAAGCACTTAAGTTATTCTCTACGTAAACTTGAACGTGTTCACAATATCTTGGAAAACAAAGTCTTTCAAAAAGAGTCTAGAAGGCTTTAAATAGAAGAAACGTAAAAATGAATGATGTATATTTCAATTTATCACTAGGTGGAACCGTCACATTTTCTTCGCTTCATTATGATACTTTATATTTTACAAACAAGATAAGGCCACTTTTAAAACCAAAGAAATCAGATTCTAAATCTATGCATAATAAGATACGTTGACTACATTCATACCATATTCGGAAACTATGAACATGAGTGACATGCTTCTTACTAAAACCTACCACGTGGTACGGTGGTAACCTCTGTGCTGATTTCGGGCCCCACAATAACCGTGTTGTTTTCTCCTTTATTCAGCGCTGAAATGTATAGCGTGTAATATCGTCCAGGTTCAAGGGAAAGGTCTACCCAGTTTCTATCCTTATCAAATGAAATTATTCTCCAGTAGCCAAAGTCAGCTTGGCCATCACCATCTGTAGAACCTCCATGAAGTTTCCACCTCACACGATGACCGGCACCTTCTGCGTTCCGGTCCTCTGGGTCGGTAATTTCCAATGACATACCACCACGTTCTTTATAAAAAAATTCAGCGCTGATAGGACGAGGTGGAGCTGCAAAAAAAGGGTGTAGTTTAATACACAAAAATTTGCAGACATCTAGAATCAATCTAACATTATAATAATTGTAAATAAGTATGGGATAAGAAGTTAATTGTCTACAGTGTTGCCGGCCTCATTGCCGCGCTAAACATTATTTTTGATCGTGCATTTCAACATGCACCTTCGTATTTCCTCACTCCGGTGTAGCGGAGTAAAGTAACACTTTCAGACGCAAAAATGTTAAGTAAAGTCGACGTTACAAAATGTATTACCAAACAATACTCTTTTTTTTACAAAGCTCGAAGATAAATATTGCATTTAATAATGAAGGTAATATCATACATTCTATAGTCTCTACAGAAGGTACGTTGTTTGCATACATAAACTTCCCTTGCAGCCCAAGCGACTTCCGGCCGCTCTTTCTTTGCAATCCTGTCCAGCTTTCTTAGGTCACCAGCGCTGGATAGTAAAAATGCTACACGGACCAAAAAAGTGGGAGATTTAGCGAGGGCCTTCGGCTGTACAATTTAACGTCTTGGAGGAGGCAAGTTGGATAACAAGAAGATTAAAACAAATTTAACAGGTCTCGATTTTTTTTTCGCTCTCACTTGGAGAGCTGGTAGATAAGAGTTAAATCGACAATTCAAACAGCGATGTTAACGTAGGTTTTGTTCATTCTCTCTCTGAATCCGAAGTTCACTGGCACCTGAATGACTGGAGCACTGCCTGGTGGCGTTTGCAAAAAAAAAAAAACAAAAAAAAGGGTTCTTTCCTTCCTTCCGACAATATTCCGTCCATTAGTGGATGTCTTCAAAGCCTAATTTGGGGGTCAATTTTTTTTTTCAAAATAATATGGCCCCAATTGAAGTTGCGACGACAAGTCATATACGGGCTGAGATGTTCTGGACGTATACTGCTCCGCGAATCACAAAGCAACAAAAGTGTTTTTTATATTATAAGGTCACCACTAATTCCGAAGCGCCTTAGAACTTACCATTGAGTAAACGATACACAAGAATATACATGCATTAACCGGTGACCGTTTGGAACTGTATTTTCTACATCCTTTCTAGTTTTTTTTTTGTTGTAATCTTAAAGGCCCTGTCACACTGAGGCAACAGTTGGACAACTCTATCCGGCAACACGGGGAAGTCGTGTTGCCGGCGACCCTGTCACATCGAGGCAACGACAACAGTCGGGCAACATGCTGCTGCCGCCCGGCAACCGTGTTGCCCGATTTGTTGTCCGACAACCCTGTCACACCGCGCTGACGGCGAGGACAACACGGGGAACACTCCGCCATCTTGATTGTTTACCTTTGTTCGTGTGCGGCGCGGAATCGCTGGAAATGTGACTCTACAAAGTGCTAGTGCGTTCGAAGGGCCGGGAATTACCACGGTAAGACATCAACTAGTGACTGTGATTAGAAAACTTGACACAGGGAGTATTTTTCGCTCTTTATTTTATCGAAATGTTCTTCATTTGCTGACAAAGCAGATAGCCCTAACCGAGGAAAGGGACATCGGTGATGTATGTTCGGGATTTACGCCACCGTATGAAGTGATTCTGTCCGGTTCTTTCATGCAATTTCTATTTCTACTGTAAAATTGCGTTAGCACCGGCAGTACCCCAAAGCGTCTTTTGTAGCGTGGTGTTGAGCTGAACTGACAGTGCTTCAAAACTGCGACACCGACACCATCGGCCTTCATAACAATCGGTGAAATAAATATTTTTCAACGCTGTCTACTGGCCTACCGCTGCTACGTGATCGCTTCATTCGCCCAAAACGTCCTGGGTATTTTTAAAACAGATCAGGTGTCTGGTAGCGGCTGTTTCCAAGTTCCAAGCATCAACAATCATGATCAGAGTGGTCGTTTTATGCTTCGACTTTTTAATCATAGGTTTTCTGGATTATTTTTATTATACTTTATTAGTGGGTGAGTAGGCATGCCATTTTATTTCACTATCCGTAATTTGCGCTGGACTCTCGGGAGATCTAATTTCAAAACCAGTCTGAACGTTCACGACCGTAGCTGTGACCATTTCGAAAATCGCTTTCCGTAACTGCGCAGCAAAAAACATTAATCGAAAATATTTTAGCTGCACGCCAGCCCTAATTACTGTTAAATAACGTTTTCCAAGCCTTTGTTTGAGTAAGACTTTATTGATAGGGGACTAGCTCTACCATCGAAGCTATCTATGTTGTCGTGTTGCCGGCCCGAAATTCGCTCAGCCAGCGATCAGGGCAACACTCGTTGTCCAACACAAGTTGCCGCTGTTTTTGTTGCCGAAAGCTGTCATACCGAGGCAACATTTTAGTTGTCGTCCATGTTGTCGTGCTGTTGCCGCGGTGTGACAGCTTTGTCGGACAACACGGGGAGCGAGCAACAAGTTGCCCGACTGTTGGACAACGTGTTGTGTTGCTGTTGCCGTCGTGTTGCCTCAGTGTGACAGGGCCTTTAGGGTAACGCAGACAAGGACATTTCGCAGTTTTCGAGCGCTGCTATATCTTGTTGCTGTGTTGCAAGTGTAATAACGGGCGAGGGGCCTACACAGCCGACCTTTACTAACGCGTTTTGCATGTGCTCCAAGTCAATGCTAATTCTTTTTAACTTCGAAAAAAAAAGGTAATCAGGAGTAATAGTTGCTATCATGCTAAAAAACTAAGTCATACAAATGGCTAAATACTACGAAGCATTTTGCGTGACTGGAACACCTTACTATTTAAAGAGTAGACCTCGAGCCGTTGTCATTGTCTTAACTGAATAAAAAATGCGCCAAGAAAGCGAGAGTGAGAGGGGAAGAAGAGTGGGGACATCAGAACGACGAGCTCTGGTTGGAATGATTAGAGGGTAGACCTAAAGCTAGCAGCTTTTGTTTCCTCTGCACTCGTCGAACGCAATAGAACGCGAAACACCGGTGTCCGGCGCTTGGCTTCCGTCCGCAAACGCGTTCGGCGACTGCAATGGAGACAAAGGCACCCAGTTAACAGTGCAGCTTGGGCGAGTTGGTGGAGCATTGCGGGTTGAACAATTGCGGGTGAGCGGCAAGTCTACAAAGTTGCACCATCCCAAGCCAGCATGGTGATCAGGGGACCAGGGAAATTATTGAGGCCGAAAATATTGCTAGACTTGAAGATAAATGTGTCAGTACTCCACCTCTCACGTTGTCAGAAAAATCGTTAGTTTACTTGGTTACAACGAATGTGTATTGTTGTTACGATGGGCCAGCTGAACAAAGATACCACGCATAAAAAAGCACACTTCACACTGCCAGCAGTGTGGATGGTGTTTTTTCTGCGTGGTGTCTTTGTTGAGCTGGCTCATCGTAAGAATGACGGAACTAGCTCAGCTTAGACCCGTGTAATGTGTTTTTTCTTGTGCATTGGCCACAATGATATAATTACGACCAGTGTGTGTGTTGGTTTAACAGACGAAGAAGGCAAATATGAAATAGAAAATAGAGTTGTAAACTTTGGCGTGGTACGTATGTCGTGTGTTTGCCCAAATACTACTGTGCGTGTGATGTTTGTGCGCTGGGAAGTCAGCACATGCAGCTAGCTTTAGTCTACACAATAATCATCCAAACGAAAGCTCGGCGTTCTGAAGGTCCCCTCGAGCTCTCGTCTCCTCCTTATCCTCAGTTTCTCGGCGAATAACATTTATTGGTGTATTAGCGCATTGCCATAGTTTTAAAACCTGAACGGCTGAAGGTCTAATATGGGTTTAACCTCTTCCTGTGCCTGTTTAGTCTGAGCTATGAATGGATATACCGTGTTAGTTAAAGGAGTCGTTGGTGTTTTGAAGGTACCGTATACTTCGTGTTTTTACACTTTAAGAAATGCCTGCGCGTCTACTTACCCGCAAAACACTCGAAGAGCCAATCCCTACAATCTACTAAATCAGGTTAGCGGATAATGAGGCGGAACATCTGTTTAGACCTCAAAATGAAGTCTGCGCCTTGGCATTACGCAATGCAAGCATGATGCTTTGCATTGCGTAAATCCCACAGCGCAGACTTCATTTTTAGGTCTAAACGGATGTTTCGACCGATCATTCGCTGAGCTGATTTCGTAGATCGCAGAGATTGGCTCTTGGAGTATTTTGCGGGTAAGTAGACCCGCAGACATTTCTTAGAGTGTAACGTGCAAAAATAAATTTCTTTGCAGGGGCGACCAAATATGGGGAATTTTGCGTACGTTTTTATTTTTAGAGAGCCTTAATGAAAGGTAAACAAAATAATTGCGTAAAATCGCTACACACGGCGGCCGTCTTTTGATGAACGGCCTCTGATCGGCGCAATGACCGAGAGATGGCAATAGCTGCCATAAGCTGTTGGAACAACCGATTTCGCCCGACGAGGAAAGTTGCTACTTTTGTGTTCATTCAGAATGTTTTAATATTAAAATAACAGGCTTATGACCTACACCGTGATATCTCGTGGCTCAAGTTATTTTCAAACAAAGTCTGATTGGTCGATGCCGAGCAAAGCGCCCGTTTTATTTCATCTAATTTAACACGCGGTCATCTGTTTGGCATTTGCGCCAATAAGACACTTTTATTTGACAGACGGCAGCTGGAGTTATCAAATTCACTTTCGTCATTATTTACAGTTTCCTCAGCTAAGTCAATTCTTTTATATTCTGAGGCCAAAAATACACGTTCGAGATTAGACATATTTATGCGTTGCCTCAAATCACTAACAGGGTACATGCTGATACTTTTTTTTTTTAATTTAATGAAAAATGGGCTGCGCGTCTACTTTGCCTTTTGGCTTCTGTCCGCCCTAAACATTACGCTTTTATTACGTAAACTGCCCACGCAGTTGATAACTGCGATCTAAAATTTTAAATCCGCGAATAGATATGCGGATTTAATTTTAGTTAATCGTCCGAAAAGTCAATGTATAATCAAGAACAATACTCACTGTTCTTCATTTTCGAAACCATTTTTGTCACAGCGTGACTGCATTTTCCCATATAACAGCTGGCCATGCTAACCGATGGGTTTGTTAGCAGAAAAGGCGTTTCGATGAGGACGTTGTTCTCTTTTGACTCCTCACCGCTTCCGTCAACTTTTACGAGTACGTAGTTGATTTGAAGCCTTTCATACATTTGTCGAATCTGGGAGAAATGAGTCGTTTTGCGTATCATTGCCATGCTTAGCGCAACATTGCTTTCAACGTCGCAAAAAATAATGAGCGTGATCTTCTATGTCACGGTTCGGGTAATTCAATTAAAAAAAAACAAAAAACCTTCGAGTTGTCATTTGCAGCTTTATAATACCTGAGTCCCACTAGGGTTACATGTAAAAACAACAGGCACCGGCAAGCCACATTGGAGAGCAGCTTGCAAGCGTGGGTACCTTTACCAGGCTTGCGATCTCCGGTGCTCCGCCAGCAAAGAGCACGTATTTCAAGCTCTTCAAATCGACCTTCGCTTGCATGTGGCAGGTGCTTGTGGCTGGTCGGTGTCGGTTGTTTCCGTTTGTCGCTCTGGTGCTACACGGGCATAAGCAATTTTCTATGAAGGATATAAGACTTTGTTCACGGAAGACCTAGAATCAGCATGATTTTGAAGTTTCAGAATTTATGTTGCCTGCATAACACCTTCACAATGGTGACTACCGTGTATTACGTGCGTGCCTGCCGTGTACTGCGAACACAACCGTTTGAGCCCAAACAAAGGGGGCATGTATCCCGAGGCACCGGGAGGGAAAAGCCGAGGTGCGAGTCACCGAGAAGCCAGGAACGCCTGCGACCCACAAACTAAGCGCAAACACAAAGCAGTCAAAGTATTTGTCATTACGCCAACTGACTGTATCTTAAATATTTCAATAAATATATAGCCGCATTATCAAAAATTAAAAGGGTACATCATAATTGGGACAAGGATAAGATCTATGCAACAAAAAGGGATATGAAAGGCTGAGCGACATCGGAACAAACGAAACCGCGGTAACGTGAATGATGCTCCACCTCAAGCCAAAAAACAAATGCCTCGCATCGGAAGAAATTGAAGACTTCTATTATAAATCGGAATGGTCTTTGTACATCGAGAGGATTGCAACGTTATTTGCTGAGAACTACATTACGGAATCAAAGCGAGTCGATGGTCTCTCTTTCGTCGGACGATATATGTACGTACTAATACAAAACTTGTAAGCACTTGCCAAACCAAGCACCAAGTCCTACGTACTGATCGTTCAACTAAAGGAGAACCGCATTATTAGGACGCAAGATAGAAAAAAAAAAAAAACTTTCATCCTTTTCACCCTTGTGAAGAAGGAAGAGCAGCGGAGCTGTAGCTTCTGTTCTCGGTGGTGGCTTTCCAGGCGAGCAGTCTGCTCTTTCGCAAGGGAATCTGAAGCGCCCGAGGAAGTCCAACTTTAGGCGATAGCGGCCTCGCAACGGTTGCAAAACCATTCGCGCTGCTGCGCACATCACCGCTCGTTCCGTTCCCACTCTTCTGCCTCCGAAGAAATGCCGCGCTCTCTGAGCGACGGTCGGCAAGCGCAACCGGCAAACACAACTCTCTGGACAGCTACCACCACCTAGGAGCGACGGCGGCAACCAGAGTTTTGTGTCGACATTTCTTTGCGGGGGACACGATCTTTGGGGAACTAACCCTTAACAGCTCGGCTGTAAAAAGAAAAAAAATCTTTGAACAGTACAAATTTATCAGGTGAAGCAGCTAGGATCCGGGACCATCGCAGACTGCGTAGCTGCGCTCAAAGATCAACGCATCTTCGGTGTTTCATTCAAAGAGCGAATTTAATGCCGCATTTACACTTGCGGATTTTCGGGCAAATTCGCGAAGGCGGGAGTGAATTTTCGATGCGGGTGGCGAAATCAACTCGCCGCTTACGGAAAATCTAGATATGGGTCCTGGACAGATCCCGGTTTTCCGCCGGCGACGAATCGATTAGGCCACATGGCTCCAAAATCCACTTACCTCGTGTGTGGATCCGCCCTCAAATGAGGTAGTGTAATCGCGCCATAAGACAAGCTTCTGTTTACAGCATTAGGGACAGGAAATCTTTCAAAAAGCTGCTGACTGAACCAATGCTGACACTCAAAACAGCGGTGGATCTTTCCACTTTGATGGAGGTAGCCATGAAAATTTCGAAGGAAAGAAGGAGCGATACCGAGACCCAAAATGATGTCAATCGCTTGGCGCACAGGTGAAGATACATGACGTCCCTTCAGGAAAAGGCGAGCAAGGAAGAAAACAAAAACCTCACACAAACAAGATTTGTAAAATTCATGTCACCAATGCGGCAAAACCAACCACAACCCTGAGAACTGATTTAAAAAGAACAAGATTTGTAAAATCTGCGGAAGAACAGGCCACTTCCCAATGGTCTGCGGTGAGGGAGACGGGATCATCAATATATAACATCCTATATATAGAGGGTGTCCTATCTTGTGAACAAACACTGGCCAAGTGTCTGTCCGTCATTTTTCGTCCTTTAGCTCCAGGGCTTCCATTTCCAGAACCGAAAACAGTTTGGTGTCGATAGGCTTCTCTTTACAGGCTCAGGAAGGAGCATTTTCCGTGTTCGGTATAATTATGTTCTTAATTACTTTTCAGTAGTGACCATATGCCTCACGAAATTGAAAGGAATGGTCTCAAGTACAAACCTTTCTGGGTATCATCTCAAACTAATAAATTAATGCATTTTTTTTTATAAAAAGAGGAGGCACGTGCAGCATTTCATTGAGGTTTGATAAACCACGCCACCGGCCCTCCCCACGTTGACGAACTGCGCAACCATGGCCTCGCCTCCTTCGGTTGAAAGAGGAAAGTGCGGCTCAAGGCGCCGAAAAGAAACGACGTGCTGTTCGAATGGCCATTCCAGATTAAGCGTTGAATCTTATCGCCCCCCACCCTCCCACGTCCCCCCACCTTCGGTCATACGAAGAATGCGTGGCGACGCGCGTTATCTACGCATTTTACCTACCAGGCGACAGGAGTACTGGCAAGAAAATTTGTTTTGATGGGAAATCGAAACTCCAAACGCATTAAAATTAAGTGTATTTTTCTTCATTTTTTTTAATTATACAATGCAGCGCGTAATTTTTTTTTTTTCAAGCGGTTTGTAGGGTTTTAATGATTCTCAGGAAGTTTGTAGTTGAAACAAATTCCTTTATACTTCTAAACTAAAAATATTAATACGGAAAAGTGAATACCAATCTAGTTATACCTTTCGCTGCTATTTTTTCTAGACGAGCCCTTTGGAAAAGACCAATGCGACATGAACCTTTTTTTGGCACTCTGGTACTTTTTGTAGGAACGATTTTCTGGAGTTTCGTGAAAAGCCCTAGATCTACTACATATATAAGGTTTCACTACATGATATACCGTCGACTGTTACAGATTTATAAAAAATATGTGATTACGAACCTGTTCTTCCAAGGAGCCGTGGACGTACGTTAGGAGATACGAGGCATGAAGTGACGGTACGAACTCTCTTGAAAGCCGCGGACAAGATCCATTGCAGACAGCCACCTGGGAAAATAAATTAGTGACTGAGTAGCACAAGCAAAGAATTTTATAGACATTTTAAAGCAAGTCCAAAGACTAAATATAGAAAGGTACTTTACTACAATTATGATTTATTATTTTATACCTATATATATTGTTTTAATTCTTAAATAGTCTGTTTCAGAAACGCCAGGATACCTACACTAATGCCGTCGATGAAGGATCAGTTACACCGCCAGGGGGACATACACTCTAAAAAAATCCGTTCTTGAAAGGTTCTTCGCCGCCCCAAGAACTCTTTTTCCTCGTGAAGAACTGTTTTCGCTTAAACAGTGTCGCCCCCTGGCGTACCAGAGAGGCGACCGGGCGATGAAGAACGTTTGCCTGGAAAAAAGTTCTTCATAACGTGTTTTTTTTTTTTTTCTTGTTTTCGAAGAAGCGGTTGCTCGCGAAGGAGTGCCGGTGGTGCCGCTGCGCCGCGCCGTTTGCCTGCGTGAGATTCTGTCAAGGCGAAAGTAACGGCGGCCAACAATTCGGGGTTCGCTGTTTACTGCTTCGACCTGGTTCTGTCGGCGGCATTCAATGGATGCGGTCACTGTGCGAGAACATAATGATGTGTCAAGATGGAAGCTCCAGGACGTGTCAGATTGGTTGACAAAGCAGAACCTTGGAGACTTCGCCCAGAGATTCGAAGGTAAGCAGAATTCTCCGTCCTCTTCGTTTGTGTTGGTTGGCGGCGCCGGTTTCGTCTCGCGTTTCCAGTTTCCAAGTTGAGTGCCGGTAACGGTGGCTGATCGGGGTCTCGATGGCGCTATCCTTCCATACTTCCACGTGCACGCGAATATTTTTTTTTATGAAACTTGTAGTGCAGTGTGGATATTTGGACATGTTTTGTGAGCGAGGAAGTGCTTCCGGGTCTTTCGGCGATTGGTGAGATGTGTCGTCGTTTGTGCGATTTCAGCATGAGTGGATAGGAGTGTTCAAAGTTTTCGCAGTGCTACCACATCGGGAGTCATCTGACAAATCATGTCCAGATAGCTCATGGTGACCCGGACTTTAATTCTGTTTGCAAGTTGGATGAGTGCTCTCCGTCTGGACGATATTTTATTGCACCTGAGAGCTTCAGGAAGCACATGAAACGTAAACATGTCGAGGGAGGTTCTGGGGAACCAGAAAATGGAAAAAGTGTGGGGGTGATGCATGCCACTGCTTTATGGTCGTCCCCCTCCCTCCCCCCCCCCCCCATCTTCACACTCTTTATACTATATTTGTGTACACCATCAGAATAAAAGGGTAGAAAATCGTGGTATAACTTCTGTCATTAACATATATAACATATGTGTATGATATAATCTGTATGTGCAATATTTTATCTCCTTTTATGCAGAAGAGGTTGATGGGAAGACGTTACTAAACTTGTCAGTGTGGCCACAGAGATATACTCTCCCATAATTTCCCTCGCTACGGTTACAGAGGCTGTGTGAAAAGAGTGAACTGTTCCTTCAACCACAGCGAAATGAAGCACGAACAAAGTTGGTCGCTGTGTTGGCAGACGACATTCTGAGCAAAACTCCGAAAGCAGCAGCAATTGAAGTCCTCACTTATATAGCTTAAAATAGAGGCTAACATTTGTTGTTTTTTCTTTCCAGAACGCCAAGTCGGTCTTAGCTAGATGATGTCATGCGTGCCCACCAAGCGGCATACCCCTTCCTGGCCGACTCCACTGGACGCTGCGTAAGATTTACAAGAAGTTGTTTTCATTCTGACAATTGAAATGCTTGTATCGAAGTTCATTATCTGCATTGTAACAGGCTTGCTACTCATCAGTCTCACTGTAGGATTCGCTGCGACACAGCCTTATTAACAAAATGAAAAAAAAAAGGTTGCTTCTTATGCATCTGCCAGAAGTTCAGCAAAACAAGCAAAACTATGGCAAAGGTGGTGGGCGAAAGCGAAAGGAAAAACGCCAACGCAGTGACTGTATTCAAAAATACAAAAGGACCATCGTAAGTTTGTTATAACCTGGTTCTGATACAGTTAAAAGAAATAAAACTAATCTGGAAGCTGGAACTGTTCTTAAATAGTTATTCAGCTAAATGTAGTTATGTAATTGCTGCATCATATGCTTCAAAGTGCTTAGCCTGTTACATTTTACCAAAATGAGAGGAATCTTTATACAGTTTTCAGTTGCCCGTCTAGAGAAATGGTTAGAAGCTTGGAAATGACCTTACCGAATTCGGCTTGATTGTTTTTAAAAGGCCTATTTATTGTTCGCATGCAGATTCTTGTTATGAAGTCTTAAATATACGACATTGATATTCACTATCAAATGACGAAATCTTTGTGTTATTATAACCTTTAGAACTGTAACAAAACATCACTTTGAGTACTCAAAATGTTTCTATTTTTACATTATCTTATTTTAGTGGTACGTACTGTTAGCTTTACTTTTGATTCCGTACCTAAAACCACCATTTACAGCAGTTCATACTATCCATCATCACTCAGGCTGTTGTTGCCATGTCTGGTGCTTCTATGTGCAACTAAGCAGATAGTGCTTTGTTCGAGAGAATCAAACTTGTCAAGCAATTGATGTTAACAAAAGGTTGCACAGGAGTGGGAGGGCAAAGTAGATAGTGTTTTAGTTGAGCATGCCAACACATTAACCGTATGATAATATTCACAGTGGTAAGAACAAAGACGAAGTTTTTGCTTACATGCCAATACATCTTTTAGCTGCTCTTAAACGTACTTTTGGCTACTCCTAAATGGACTTCTGACTACTGCAACAGGTGCTCCAAACTTCAAAGTGACTTGAACGAATCACATTGCTGTAAACGTAATCTGTAAAAGTCACAGTTGCATGGCTTGTCAGATAAATCAAATACTTTCTGGTTGTCTCTCGGTTAAATCTCTTTTGTTGCATTGAACTGCCTTATGATAGCTAAAATATAGAGTGCATATAACTTGATCTATTTAGACCCGTGCGCCCACTGTTTAAATTACAATTTTTTACATAACATAAAATAAGGCTTGCTGGAGTTCGTCTGGTACACAACTTTGTTCTTCAAATGTCATATTGTGTGCATGGCACTGACTTTTTTTTTTTCAGGTTCCACATCATGACGTAGAAGGTACCGACAACTGTGCAGACCACGTAGAGATTATGGCTGCTGAATGCTCCAAGGCTGCAACAGATGTGAAGCTCTTACTTCAAATAATGGCACAGACGTCACAGGCAAGGAGGGTAGACATCGCTGGCAAGACCACCACTGACGTTATTTAGCTGTACCCGGCCCTCTGCATTCCCGAAGTGGTAATTTTAACGCCTTTTCCACTAAACTTTCAAAGCAATAGACAGCCTAAATGGTGAATCAGTTTTGTCTGGTTTTGAGTTACTTCAAACCTAAAAAGGGTATACCAAGAGACTCAGGCACTGTCTAAATCCAGCTAACAGCCTGGTTTGCAGCTGTCTACTTGCAGTGCCGTTGTGCTCTTTGTCTGGGTTTAACACCTGTTTGTGCCATGCGCCCTCGCAGTGTGTGGTTGGAGAGGGGCATCATGAGAAGGAAGGGGCCAGAAGTCTTGTTTTGCCGCAATTCCATTTTTCCTGCTTCCACACCTGAGTGGTTGCCTCGTCCATCTCGTCTCCAAGATAGCATTTTTATCCATAAAGTATACCTCAACAAGAAAGGGTTTTGAAGTTTTTCCATGTCAGTTTTTGTTTTCTTTTGTTAGTGGTCAAATAATAGATCTGAGCTCGCTAACGTGCCACATATGAAATCAGACATCTAGAACGTTGTCTCCATTTTCTCAAGCCCGAAATTTCAGTGTCTCATTTCAGTGTTCCACTAGGCCGTGTTTTATTTGATCTATATTTTAAGCACAGAAGCATTCTACTCATGTGCTAAGTTTCAATCTATTCATGTTCAATAAACGTCAGTATGTTTTTTTTGTGAATAGCGGTATCTTGTTTTCATTTCACCATTGACAGGTATGACATTGCAGAGCATCTCTATTGTTTCTCCTACCTCTATTCCCTATACCTCATACTTGGTCTTGACAAGAGTGTCAACGACGAATGTGTGCTTGAATACCCATCCAAGCCAGTGGTTCTGCAATAGATGTAGTGCCCCAGAAAAGGAGCCTTGTCGTTCAAAGCCTGTTTTGCACGTCTGTTGACGTTTACAAAACGTCTAGGTGATGTATATTGCCTCTTTGAACAGTTCGAGACAGTCGATAAAGAGCGGTTTACAAAAGAGCTACTCTACACCTAAATGTGCTGCCCAAGCCACTTTTTGCGAATAAGTTATTCAAGTTAACTGGAAAGTGGTCTTTGCAACAAACATTTCATTGAAAAGGTTCATAATAGAAAGCTCTCTCTGTGAAAAGTAACTTAAAAGTTAGGGGTGAGCAAGTAGTGGTTGAAATGAAATCCTTTGTAGTTTTTTTTAGTTCTCTCTCGGATGGAACGGTTTTTCATCAAATACCTTTGCAAGCTTCTTACAAGCTCTTTCAATTGACCCGTAGCTCATGAAAAACCTTTATTGAGTTTTTTAGTGTCTAAGGAAATAACAGTTCTAAATAACCTTTCAAGGGAACTTTACTGTTGGGGTGTGCGAATACCCCTGGGTTAAAACAGCGCAGCGATATTTCAAGATTCAAGAACTCCCCTGTACACAATGACTTCCATTGCAGTGTTGAACCTAGAAATATCGCACTTCTTTTTGAACCGAGGGGGTATTCGCACACCCAACATAAAAGTTCCCTTGAAAGGTTATTTAGAACTTATTTCCTTAGACCCTAAAAAAAAAACTCAATAAAGGTTCTTCAAATTATTAACTGGTTACTTAAAAAAGAGCTTATAAGAACCTTCCGAGGGTACTTGATGAAAAATCGTTTCATCCGAGAGAGAACTAAAAAGAACTGTTTCAGCAACACAAGGGCTGGAAAGAACTTTCTAAACGTTCCTCACGAAGAGCTGTTCCATTGAAAAGAGAACTTAAAGGGGCGGTGCAACGATT